TTGAACATGATTAATCAGTTCATTTACTGCAGCGTACTTAGCGCCACCAGCAGTCCGTCTGTGTTATGACCATCGGGAGTCCATGTCAGATGTTGGAAAAACCAAACAGTTAAAGTGAATGTGAGGAGTTGAAGCGCCTCGGTCTCAGCAGCAGCTGCTGCGGCCGACGGTCGCCACTGGTTTTACTGTGTTGTTGACAAACTGTGATTATTTTTGCACAGCGTCTGAAAATAATAAGACAGTGACAAACACGTCGGCTCGTTAGGCAAAGAGCCCGATGGCGGTCGTTCAGGGGTCCAAGTAACTGAGGCCGTGAGTGGGCGAGAGGTTTCACCGAAGACGACGTCGAGGAAAACGGAACAGATGATTACAAATAAACATAAAATAAACACGGTTATTAATTCATATATATATATACATATATATCGTACATATGTGTATATATATACATATGTGTGCAGATATATAAAAACATATTACATTTATTATCAGCTTCACGGCATCAACGGTGAAGCTTTAACTTCTCAAAACAGAAATTTGAAATTGTCTCAATCTTTCGATCAGAATCTGGAGTTTTTCCGACTGAATCCTGCTGAGACCAAACCAAACTGTGGAGAGGAATCAGACTCGGCACATCTCCGTGGACTCCACTGCACCGGTGCCTGCACTCTGAGTCATCACTGCCATGCAGATGATGGAAGGTTTCCTACTCAGGTGTTTGGAACTCTCAGAGCAGCGCTTGCTTCAGAGCAGATTAAATATTTAACATGTTTTTTTTTTTTTGTGTTTTGCGTCAGTCGCTCTCTCACTGCTGCCGAGTTCCTCTCCGCCGCCGCCGCCGCCGGCTCTTTTCAGCTCTGAGATAAGTCAGAAATGATCTGCGCTGTTTGAAAAAAGCCAGCAGTTTAAACTGTGATGTCAGCAGATGAGTCAGTCGGCGTCTGATTTATGTCATCGCTCTGATGTAATGAATATCTGCCTGTGCCAGCGAAAAAGTAGCGGCAGGCCGTTTTTGGAGACATAACTTTAATCAGGACAGTTAGAGTCTGTGCGTGATTGGCAGTACTACTACACAGCCTGGACACACTGATATAGTACTGCGTAGTAGTACTTCATAAGGGAATCCTGTCTGAGGTTGGCGTGTTAACGTGTTACATACTCTACTCTCTGCCCAACCCCAGGTCCACGGACCAGTACTGGTCCGTATCTCATTTGTTACCGGGCCGCAATTAGACACAATGAGAAATTTACTTCATTTTTACTAATTAACTTTCTTCAAAGAGAATCTGGCAACACTTCAAAATAACATGTCATCCAGACTCTGATACTAACAGAATAAAGTCTAAAACATGTTTTATTTTGAAAAACAATCCTACGTTGTTCGTGTTCATTTGTTACTTGAAACATGAAGCCGGTTTAGTTTTAGTTCTTTCTTTAGTTTAGTCTTCTGTCAAAGCTCTGCTCACTTTCTGTTCATCTGGCTGAGTTCCCTGCAGAGAATGTTTCATTTTTTTAATTTTGTAAGTAAGCAAATTATTTTTAGTTTTCTTTAAATGTTGGTGTAAGTTTAAAGATGTGAAGATCAATTAGAATTCTAACCAATCACAAAGCTGTGGTCGGACACCGCACCTGAAAAAGGTTCTCTCCTCCCCGGTTCTAAACTCTGATGAGAACTCAGATGCAACAAATTGGACAAAACAAGGAAAAAAAAACATGAGTGAAAATATTTAGGTGCCAATTGTTTTTTTGTTTTTTTCAGGTATTACAGGAACACGAAAGAAACTCCAGAACAAAATCCTCTTTATCGTCACTTCACTTAATTAACTCTGTCTGCGTCCAGGTTCATGAGAAACGGAGCCATCTTTTCACTGCATTTATAAGACCAGTAAACATTTTACTGTTGGGGTTTACGGTCCCTGGTCCTGGTTTCAGGTCTTGTGTAATACTTAAGAGCGTAAAGACTCAAGTGTTTAATTTGGTAATGCTCCTAAAGCTTTATTTATCAGGAAAATTGACAAACAAACGACTTTTAGTGCTTCACCGACCAATTTAATTCTGTTCTGTTAAACATAATATTATCAGGGCGTTGATATACACAGTACCGTCTACTGAGTTATGTCGGAGGGAAGGAAACTAAAGGGTTAAGACCATTTATTTTTTACATTAAAACTATGATACAGTAACTAAGGGCACGGGTTGGAAAAGTTTTGACATTTAAAATTTCTATTCTTCTATTCTAACTATTCTCCTAAAAATAGTTTTAGGGAAAAACGACTGTATATGAGAGTGAAAGTCACTAGGTGGCAGCATTGCAGCTCATTTTAATAATCTATTTTAATAATCAGGTGACTGTATGTAGAATGCTGGTGCCAGAAACTCATACATTGGTTTGTACTGATAAATAAATAAATATTACCAGACACTAAATAGTATTGCGATCGGGGGTGGGGTCGGGGGGGTGAGGAAACTTCTGTCCCCTAGGGGGAGCATGGCAGAAAATAATTAAGAAAAACTGCTTTAATCCATCATCTTAGCGCACAGACCGCACTTAACTTCCTCAACCACCAGGGCATCACTGCTCCACTATATCGGTATCGATTGATATCGGAATAGTATAAAAGTATTTGGACAATATCGGCATGTCGGACATCGGCAAAAACTTAATTACGGACATCCCTAACTAAATCCACAAAAGACCAAGCAAAACATGTCTTAATTACAGACATCCCTAACTGAATCCACAAAAGACCAAGCAAAACATGTATTGTAGCGATTAATTCACAGAATAGTGCTCTAAAATGTCACACTGTCCCAGAGAGAATTAGTGCTCTAAAATGTCACACTGTCCCAAAAAAAAAAAAGACCAACAACAACAACCCGCATCAGTCACAACAACATTAGCATTAGCATGAGCCGTCCTGAGCGTAAGTCAATAAATAAGAACGTAGGTTCAGTGCAGCCACAGCAGAGAAGCTTCCAGGTCCCAGCATGAGCACATCTGACATCATCAGTCATCAGTTAATGGTCTCGGAGACACAGACTCCACTGAAATGTAATTACTTGTCATCAAATTAGCTGGAAATGAATACGGCCCGAAGCCTTGACGAAGCCTCTGCAGATGATCCTGCATCCAGTGAGCAAAACAAGCAGCAGACGTACAGATCATCAGGCTGTAATCTCATTAAAAAACACACATTACACAGTATAAAAATGTTGGTTATGTTTTGTTAAAGTTTATGGCTCGACTTCGATCAGTTGTGGTGAAGTCGTGCAGTATATTTCTCATGGTCAGTGCGAGGTCTGAGGGCAGGGACGGAGGATGACTAACGGGTGTGAAGGGAGAACAGCGGTCACTGAACCAATGACCGCGACCTCCTCCGCAGATTTAATAATGACTGTGAGTCACCAGGTTGAGGAGGCTCGGCACATCAGCCGCCCTTTGAAATCACTGAGACTGGCTGTGATTGGCTGCTGGTTCAGAACAAGTTCAACAGTCGAACTTCATGGATGGAGAAAATAAAATTACGGTTTCTTCAAGGAGGGTTTTGTTCAACACCGCAGGTAGGATCTGTTTTTTACTGAACAACTCTGGTCTAAACCTGAAGGAAACAGAATCAGATACTGTAACCTTCCATGTTTAACTAATTATATTAGTGGATTTGGAACGATATAACAGAAGGAGAATTGAACAGATACCAGAGCAAAAGATTTGACAAAACTACTGATCATCTGTTAGCTAAGGTCCAGGTTTCTGTAAATTTTGAGGGAGAAAATGTTGCACTTCTGCATCTGTCCAGCAGTTGAACAGTTAAGTCACAGTCGACTTATTTGTAACTAAAACTTCCGAGCGGTTTCATGAGCTCAGCAGAGCCTAAAGGTTTCAGTTCCAACAGTGCGACGGTCTGACGTAACTTTTAGACAAGCAGACGGCCTGTGTGTGTGTGTGTGTGTGTGTCGGCTCAGTGAGGCGGAGGTATAAGAATGGTAAAGAACACTGACACATCTGCATCAGAAAGACGAAGACACAGAACCCCTGAAAGACGCCTTTCCTAACGAGCCGTCTCCGACTCTTAACGGTTTCTCTCTCTCCCTTCGTTCCTCGCCTGTCGTTCCGTTCTCTCTCTCTCTCTCGACTTTCTGACATATTTCATCAGCTGGTCCTACTCGGGGCTGGTCTCTTGCCTTTAGATTTCACCACTCCCAGAAGGCAGGCCCTACTCTGAAGTCTTCCTCTGCCTGTCTTCTGTCCTCATGGGGACCGAAGACGTTAGTCCATCTTGTTGTCTGAGGACCTCGTCTCATTACTGCCTCTGAGGTCCAGCTCTGAGCTCACGTCTGCTGCTCCATCACCTCAAACTCAGAAAGTTGAAGTGAAAGAGAAACTGGGGCGCGGCAGAGTCAGAGACTGTAACTGGATACGACCAGATAGAGACGTGAGATCGGATTAAATCACCGCAGAGACAAAAACTATATATGAGTCTGAATATATTAGAGTATTAGATAATCTGGAAAAGTATCCTGAGAAAATATTAGATATTACATTAGAAATTACAGATATATAAATACATGAACTGCAGATCTGTGTTAGTCACTGACACAAAGACTATGACAAGGATTTGAAAAACGTAAAGTGTATCGTTATATTACAGCCCTAATATATAAATATATGTAGATATATATATATATATATATAAATACATATATTTGTACATATGTATATTACTAGGGTTAAAAAAACATTTAAAAATACATACACATATATGTACAAATATGTTTTTATGTACATACAGTATATGCTTATATATATGTATATAAATACATGTTTGTACATATATGTGTATGTATTTTTTCTTTTTTTAAAAAAAAAAAAGTAACATAAAATGAATTTACTCTGTAATTTAATTTCATAGGTTACAAAAATCCAAATAAATCTAAATTAAAAATACATTTTACCGTGTATATATATATATATATATATATATATATATATATATAAAAGTACTAGGTGACGGTCTCTTGAGTCAGTATCTAAGAAGGACCTGTATCTAATTAATCCGGTGATGTAACAGTCACATGACCTGAATAACATGTTTATTCAAACTAAGACATGAAGATCAAACACCAGCTGATCGACCTGCGTTAGCCCTGAGTAGATTTTAATTGCTCTCTCTCTCTCTCTCTCTCTGTTCGGCTCCTTCTCCTTTACTTCCTCCCATCGTTCGTCCTCTCTTGTCCCAACTTTTTAATCTCCTCCGTCTTCCATTTCCAATAATTGTTCCTGTGATTCTTCCTTCTCCACGGCCTACGCTCCAGCCTACGCTTCTCTCGTGTGATTCCACGTTTAATAGAGGGAGAATAAAATCGCAGCAGAAATGGGGGGTAAAAGTACAGCGGGAAGGACGTTGACAAATGGACAGAAGGGGGAGTGAGAGGTGGAGAGTCATTACTACAGAGGGAGAGAAAAAAGAAGAATTTACACTGAGGTAGACGGGTATGCGGGCTGTCCCTGCTGACTCAGCCTCAGGCTGGGTTAATGACCAGTATTAATGAGGCCCCTGTCATTACTACACACACACACACACACATATATACCTATATATAGTCTCACATGAAAGAATATGAGGGGCAAATGTGGAGATGTACTTCTATATTGTCTTTTTCCAGTGTCAGCCACTTTATATATATATATATTCTTTCTTCTTCTCCTTTTTCATATATATATATTTATATATACATATATTAAAAATTAAATACATTTTATTTATTTATTTTTTAATGGCTACTCACGATCCCTCACAGAGAAACCAGACAAATGCGTTTCATATGATGCCAAAGCATCATGGTTATGACTGGTTTCATTACGTCGTTAGTTTTTATTTGATTAACTAATTAGTCAAAACCTAATTTAAGGCAGAAATTAGCCCCAAAAAACAATTTTTATTTTTGTTTTCTCTTTATACCTGCAGTTTGGAAAGATAATTAGCTAACAACGTCAGCGTAGATTTTACAAACTAGAAAACTCAGGTCATTAACGATCAATTTTAGAGCACCCCATATCTTTAGAGCTGTACACTCCCAGCATCAACGGTGGTTAAAGAAAAAAAAAAACATTTCCAAACACCACCACTATTTTCCACCTTTTTACCCAGAGGTTGAAAAAAAAAATAAAAAGTGTCATCAAAGATTTACAGCAACAGTCCCTGAGACACGCGGCCCACGTGGACATCAGTAACAGCAGTTTAGGGCAGACTCACTGCACTTGGTTCATTGTGGACAGAAACCAAAACTCCATCATTGGTGACAAGTTGTCAGCCAATTGTAGAGGAGGAGATAAAAAGACCAATTTGAAAACCTGCTGGTTTTCATCTGACAGCCGCTCAGACTGACAGACAATATTTTAGGGTTTCTTACTCTGGACGAGGAGCCAAAGACATTTTCGACTGTTTGCCAAACACTGCCAAGAAAGGAGGTGGCGCTAAAACCCCGACAGATCGTCACATGCTGCAGTGACACGGTGCTGTGGTGCTAGAGAAAAGCACACACCCTGGTGGCGAGGAGCGGCGTCTGACGTAACGACGGCGTGAATGTAGCACAGCTACTGTAGCAAAACCACATGTATTTTGTAGTAGTTTGCGTGTACAGTGTGTACTCGGAGTCCTTCCTTAGCTTCAGGGTTCAACAGCACATCATCGCCAAACGTCCGCTCCTCTCTACTGTAATAAGGCACCGTGGGAAATGAACGGGAAAAGGGAACAACTGATGAGAAAAACTGTTGGAGCTGCGTGCATTCTGGGAACTTGAAGTAGTTGAATAAAGAGGAGGAAGAGTAGGACGAAGAGTAGGACGAAGGAAATGAAAAGTCACTTCAAAGGTTCAGGTCAACTACTGTTGGTAGATTCCTACGATAGACGGGAACTGAGCGACAGCTCTATTTACCTAAAGTAAATGGCGCGACAACATGTGACTCAATAACACTCGCTCTCGTTTTACCGTCTGAAGTAACGTGAACGAAGGTTTCGGGAGCATCTGAGGCGACAAGAAGGAAGTTAGAAAATTTGAACTTTTCAGGCAGCATCGTCCCGCGTCATCCAATCAGTGACCAGTTAATCCTGATTCCCTGAAGTTAAGCAGAGAATCATCGTCGTGTCTGGTCACCAACATCGCTGCTACGTTTTATTGGAACCGGAATAGAATAAGGAGAGTCGTCGGCTTAAGTTAGCCAGGAGGTGGCGCTCTCTGGTAAGATGTTAGCCTATCTGTGTCTTGTTTTACTAAGTTACCGACTGTTTTTGACGCTGATGAAGCGATGATCCAAAAATAACACATTTTCATCTATCGCGTTGAACGCAGATTAAGAACTTTCTGTTGTTATCAGATTTTTTCTGAACACAAAATTATACATTATTTAAAATCAGGAATCAGGAAAACAATTTTGTAGCCTAAACCTGAAAGACAAAAAAAAAGAAGAAAGTTTTGAGTTTAAAAAGTCAAAGTGAGGTTAAAAAATTCACCTTGTAAATCAACATATTTGGCGTTGGTGCTGCAGGTGAATAAAAAAGGCATCGCTCTCTCAGGAGTGAACTTCCTAACCCCCCCTGCTGGATGTGCCTGGAATAACTATTTCCTTTGTTGAAGGAACCATCGAGTCTCACTGAATGGAGGGCTCTACAGTCACAAAGATCTTCTTCAACAGCTCACAGGTTATTATTATTATTATTTTAGTTAGCTATCTGCTGCCCCCTAGCAGAAAAGTATTCAACTGCTGCGACTTTCTTTGAACAAAGAAAAAAAAAAAACGCAATAAATAAACAATAGTTTTCAGACCAATCAGT